AAATTTCTTTGGCCATATAGGTATCACTACATTCCTGGAAATATTTGATATTTTCCTCAAAATTTTCCAATAAGGAAAATTCATTGTTTTCCATAGCTACAATTCATTATGTATGGCTAAGTTTTTTTTATCTTTTTTTCTGCCTTTTTAGACAGAAGAGTGTTCAGTGAGCTTAAAAGTCTACCTGCAGTTTTGGAATATCTTCGAGTAAATTACAATATCTAAAGCAGGAAAGTGGTGTAAAAAGTTTACTGCAAGTCTGTTTGGGAATACCCTGAGTTTAACTGTTGGATTATCAGTGGAAAAGGAAGCAAAAGCAAGCAAGGATCTGATCATCATCAGTGGAAGGCATGACATGATGCTGCTAAAGATGAAGTTACATTTTCTGCTTAGCAATAAATGTTGTATCAAAGTAAGGGTTTCAAATCAAAGGCCAGTTAGCAAAGGTCTACTGGCAATAAATGTTGGCTCAGAGTTAGGGGTTTCAAATAAAGGCTGGTTAGCAAAGGTCTACCACTGCCTGAAGACCTCCTACTGCGATCTATTTAGCCTACAAACAGGCTCTAGCATTCACCTTACATCCCCTTTTCGGACACAACCACCCAATTACACCCTTGGCAGTTGCCTAAGTATGTAAAAAGTTATGGAGACCCTGCAAAGTGTCAGAGAAGACTATATTCCATCATGCCTCAAGACATCAAGCAATAGTAATGCTGAAGTGACTTCACAAGCAAACATCTAACACCAAATTCTCCTAACTAATTTACAAGGAAATGTGTAGCACCTAGAGGGGAGAATTATCAATCACATTCAAGTTTCAGTGTTTTACCCAAGAACTTCTTGACCCTTAATCCAGTGTGCCAACTACTTCAGAAGCTGCTTAAGAAGGTTTATGAACAAATAAAATCCATAGATTCAGACATGATTATCCTTTTATTTACTCGACTCAAATTTTTTTAGAAAGATGGATGAATATCAAAGCAATAAATACAATACTTTTTGGAAAAGCCTTTACTACTTCTATGTGTTGTGATATTTCGATGAAAGCAGCATTCTTGATGATTTCAAAGTCCAACACGTAGCGGTGGTGAGACTAAGATAACTCCATCTCCCCTCACAAACAGCATCGATTTTCTTTGTTTATTTCAAGACAAAAAATCACGAATTAACACATTTGTTTCTTCCGCTGTTTCTGGTTTCTTCTTCCGCGATGAGGATGTAAACATAACAAATTTTCATTGGTGGATGATTTCTATAACAAGCCTGACTTCAAAGAAACATTGCAGTTTCGATACAAAGAGACTTTCGAGAGAAAGATATGCAAATTTGTGTAAAATAGAAATTAAGCTCTCAAAAATCTAAAGCTAAAATCAACAAAGTGCAGAATAGAATAGGCAAAGATGAAAGAGAAAGCTCTTTCTCACAAATATCATTGATAACCCTTAAGTAAATATGATCCTGTTGTTTCAGCAAAGGTCACAGCTTTTACTTTGCATCTTTCCAAATAATCTCCTCACCATCGCATATCCCTTTTATGGTAGAAAAGTTTTTCTGAAAATAGTTCAGAGGCAGTTGACATCGCAAAAGTCGTGGATAATCCGAGACAAGTTTGTAGAATTTCATCAAAAAGAAAGCATGCGACCTTGAAATGTCGATGTTGTTTCGCAATATTGACGAAAATGCTGAACCATGCGCTTCTTTCAGGTTCGAAAGCAATTCGCCTTGCAAATAGGAATAAAACAAAATATCTCTGTGCGCGTTACCAATCGCTTTTGACAGCATGTTTATGGATTGAACACACTCCTCTGGTGTCTCTCTCTTGATTTCATTTTCAACGCAGAAATAGCTCATTCGCCTTTCTTTGCTCATGGAAGAATCCAAGGCATATTTGACGAGAGACGTCTCATTTTGGTGACTTGTAACTTCTCTTATGTTTCGAAGCTCTGGAAATTTCTCAACCATTTGTTTCA